ACTGCCACTCTAGTTTACATACTTAACATGCTTTCCAGGATTTATTCTAATAGCCTTCTGACAGCACTTCTTTCCACCACTTTTTCCCTTTCTCCAGTTCTTTCTTCATTCATGGAGGCGATACAGACACATTCAACTGCCAGTACAACTTACTTAAGAAAAAGTTCGATGATTTCAATGACCTGCCCCCAATGACCTTCTTTGGTTCCTGAGTTCCAAAAATATACATCCACCATTAGAACCATTGTTTCTGCTGAGGTGTTTCTAAGAAACTTAACCTGTTGTCTTTCTTAGCCTCCTTTTTCCATGATGTACTTTTTCTCTTGTCTAGAACTCTTCCTGCAGCTGCCCACTCTTCTTCTCTTAGCAATTAACAGCAGATGTTCATAATTCAGCACAGCTCAGAGCCTGAAAAAGTCTCAGTTGCTCTGCCACAGGCACAAAAACTGAAGGCAAAAATCAAGTTCTAAAAATAAAATTCAACATTTTCCTTTTACATACAAGGACCCCCAAACATTTTCTTCCTCATCTCTTCAAGTTATGAAACTTGGCTTCACATCTTGTAAAGAACATCTGCTCTCAGAGAATTTCTAGCTCTTGTTATAATGGAACACAAAAAGTGAGAGAAATTCTTTAGAATGATGGGCTAAGATTCTAAGACATTATGATATATTAGTTAGATTATATTTAAATTGGAGGAAATCATATTGACACCATCTATATTGAACACAAAGTGGTTATTAGGAAAAGGCTCTATAAGCCTAAAAGCTCTTCATAAATATGAACTATTAAATAAATTAGTTTATGAAGGAGATAAAGATGTAATGTTGTGAACAGACTGTTAAAAAAATCCAGGAAGGGTATGACTTGGATGAGCTGGGAACTTCTCCCACTAGAAAAAATTTCCATGTTTATGGGAACATGGGGAAATTGCAAAGAGTATAGGGAAGAAAAATGAAGAATAAGGAAATAGTATCCATGAGGAACTGTGAGAGGAATGAGGCTGTTTACTTGTAGAATAGAAAACTGGAGAGTACTTTCAAAGTAATGGCTAATTATTCTAAGCAAGTGGATAGCCAGCTGTTCTCCATAACTACAAAGGCAAGAACCAGAAGAAATAGATTCAAATTGCATCAAGAGAAAATTTGGTTAGATGAAGATAGAATTTCTAGACTATTATTATTATTACTGTCTATCTACAAAGACGATCAAACATCAAAACAGGTTAGTGAGAAAGGTTTTTATAATACCCATCTTTCTAGCATTATTAAATTGATAAGGACATTTTAAAATGTTTTGATATCAAGTTATGTCAGAAAATAAGTCTCCATTTTATGTCACCTTATAATTGGATATTCCCAATCAAAAGGGGAAAAGAATTAACCCAAACTGGGGTGGGGGAGGCAGCTAGGTGGCACAGTGTATAGAGCACCGGCCCTGGACTTAGGAAGACCTGAGTTCAAATACGACCTCAGACACATAACACTCACTAGCTGTGTGACTCGAGGCAAGTCACTTAAGCTCAATTTCCTCACCTAAATAAATAAATAAATAAATAAGCAAATAAATAAATAAAGTTAATAAAAAATATTAACCCAAATCGCCACTTACTATGATTTCATCTTACAAAATTTAATGTATTCGTCACTAGTAGGACTCTTCCTCTTTACCATGATAAAGGAAGTATGCTTTATTATCTGTTCTTTGAAACAATTATTTTTTTAATTACTCAGAGATGTCTCTTTTAGAAATCTTCTCATCTATGTGTTTGGAGTCATTTCCATTTACGTTTAGTTCTGATTATGTCTTTATGTATCATCAGTTCATACATATTTTTCCATGTTTTTCTAAATCCTTATTTGGAATGTTTATTGCATAATAATATTATATTATGCTGTTATAAAAGGTTATGCTCCCCAACCATTACCCTATCAATAGACAACTCCTAAATTTCCAATTGTTTCTTACCACAAAGATTGTTGGTAGTGTAATTTTGGTAGTGTTATCTTTCTATCTTTGCCTTCCATACAGAGTGTGTGTGTGTGTGTGTGTGTGTGTGTGTGTGTGTGTGTGTGTGTGTGTTGGTCAATGGGCTAAAGATTATTCATAGTTTAATCGCTTTTTTGTATAATTTTGAAATGATATGGAGCACAGTTGGACCAATCCACAGGTTCATTGTTATTGTCTTCCCTTTCTGAAATTGACTGTTCTGCTCTATCATCAATGTCAATTTTAAGGATGTGAGCTGAAATGGAAAACACTTTATTTTAATTTGTATTTTCTACATAATTGGTAAAGTATGATCTGAAATCATCATTCAGGTTTTTTTAAGAAATTTTTGTTTATATTTTTGTCTACATATGTATTGAAGAATGTCTCTTGGTCTCCTATATTTATACTAATTGTTTAAAAAGCTTAGATGTTAGATTTTTATCAATGATATTTTTATGTAAAGATTTTTTTTCTGTACTAGGCAGCTTCTCTTCTTAATCTATTTGTGTTGATTCCTTTTGTGAAGATTTTTAACATTTCAAATTAACTATATTCCCTTCTCTAATTGCCTCTATCTCTTGCATAGTTAATAGTGCTCTCACTTTTGTTCTTTTCTTATTTGCTTAAGTAGTAAGGCATGCCATTTGTGGCTCACATAGAGGAAAGGATAGATATCTCTAATATTTCCTCCTCTTACCCTTCTCCAAGGGAGACTTCAGTTCCTGTAAGAAGGAAAAGAAGGAGGTTGGTTCCTGATCCTGGGCGCTCTAATTTCCTCAGAGACAGGGGTGCTATGGTAGAATTATTTCTATCTATTTTCTAAATTATTATTTGTCCATGGGACATAAGTTTTTAGATTTAAGCCAAACTTCTGGTCACAATTAATGGATAAAGGAGGACCCCAAACTTTATAACCAAAGCCTGGCTGCCTTTCAAGCAGTTACTTCTTCCATAATGAACACACATAGGAAATAGCTAAGAAACCCATTCATCCAAGTCAATAGTAAAACAGAAATCAGAAAACCTTTAAGTATGAGGATATATGTGAGTCAACAGAGATTGAAAAGGCCCCTCATTGGGAGCAATATATCTCAGTTCAACCAAGTGAGAGAGTCTTAGACCTCACTCAAGGGGAAATTCTCCGAAGTTTCTAGTGCAGTAAGCTAAGAATAAAGATATGATTTAGGTTCTATGTATTGGTTTCTTCCCAGAGTCTTTCCGCCTTCATTATGCTAAAGACAGGTTGGAATCCCTATATGTCTTCTCTCTCAACCCTAGAAGCTATAAGAACGCACAAAAAGTACATCTCTCTTGTCTCCTTTCTAATGCTCTTTTGCATCTTCTAATTTGCATACATAGATGCTCTGAGACAATCTCCACCCCACCCCTAGAACTTCTATTCCCAGTGATCTACCTTAACTCCTTTGCTCAGGCCCTTATTTCACATGGCACAAAAGAATCTCAGAATTTGAAGGAACATTAACAGACTAGTACAACCTATATGCAAATAGAACATATCCCAATTAAAGATCATTCAGAACCTACTTCAAAATCCCATGATAGAAAATGGTCCATTTGATAGTTGGGCAGCTTTGTTTAAAAAGTTTTTCATCATATTGAATGGAAATCTGCCTCTCAGTTTACCCATGGCTCCAAGGTCTAGTGGCAATGGCCAGGAATAATTAATTAGTTATCTTTTCCCCTATGTGAAAGACATTCAAATACATTATTTATCATGGCTCCCTTCTATTTTCACTTCTGCTCAGTAATCATTCCTATTCCTGCCAACCAATATTATATGTGGCACATTTTTTAGTGTTCACATCATTCTAATTGTTTTCTACTAGGAAACTTTAGCTTGTTAATTTTCTTCTTAAAAGTTGCATCCAGGATGGAAAGCAACATTTGAAGTATGGTCTGTCCAGATTTTAGTATGTTGAAATTAACACATCTTTAATCTCACATGCCACACATCTGTTAATGTAGTTTAGGAGTACTGAAATATCATACCATATACTCAGTGGAGTTTGTATAGTAAATGAAACTCGAAAGGTTTTTTTTTTCCACATGAACTCTTGTTTACTTAGGTTTCCCAAATGCTATACTAACTATATTTATGTAGTTGATTTTTTTTAAAATACAGGAGCATACTTTTATAGTTATATTTATTATATTTCATTTTTATTGGATTTGGCCCAATATTATAGCTTCTTGAGGCTTTTTGAATCATAATTCTTTCAAGAACAATATTGGCTATCATCTGAACTCCATATTATCCAAAAAATTGATGAGCAAGTATAGGAGAGTAGAAATCTGCAGGAGACCTCATACAAACAGAATGAGCAAAGTGTCTTTCTTGGTTCAGTTACAATGATTGCTGTCTGATTCCAACATGGAGAAATATGTACAATACCTCCACCAGGTAGTGGCATGAACATGAGAAGGTGAATTATCTTTTCTGTAACTGTCAATAGATCTATGACTCTCTAGGAGGCATATCTATGGATAGTTTTAATTAAAAAAAAAAAGACTACCTAATTAGGAATTTTGAAGCCTGTATCTTGATTATGTGGAAATTTGATGGTGGAAGAGAAGTATCCATTTTCAGAGGTTCTTTAGTCCTGCTGCTAGTAATGTGAGATTCTCTCTTCAATAAAAAGTTACTTTTGCTACCAATTTGTGGATCTGTGTGTCTTGGTGACAAAATTCAAACCTAGGCCCTCTGTGGGGCTACACTAAGGACAGCTGTGGCAAGAATATTCATATATTCTTACAATATCAAGGGGAAGACCAGGCATGAGGTGATGAGAACCTTTACTAGGGTGGTGTCAGAGGAGAGTTACCTAAGGCATGTTTTGTTCCATTAAATGAAATCCTTTATTATTTTAAACAAACGAGTAAGCACAACAGAATTTTGTAATTTTTGTACCTTTCAATCGGTTATGTGAGTGTAAAATAATGTAGTCTACTATAAAATACAATTTGGAAAATCGCTGCTCTCCTCCTACCTTCATCAAGGATGACCGTCATACGCGTAGATATTAATCTCATAAATGTTTTATTGAGATGTGAAGGAAAATGAGTCCATGAGTTTATAGTAACTGACATACCTTCTTTAAAAAATAAGAATAAGATTCATGATTTTTTTAAATAAATGTTCAGTACCACTTTACTTTTGGATATTTAAAAAATTATACCAAATTAGAAAAAGAATAAAAATGGAAAACATATTGTACTTGAAACAACTACAATCTGAAATATTTAAATGATTTGTCTATGCCAAACAATGGTAAACAAATAGAAAACATTATCATACTCTATCATATTTTTTAAATACTTTGTATAAAATCAATTGCTACCATGAGAACAAAAGAACCCTCATCTCATTAGCAAGCTGAATGATATGATAGTGAGGCACAATACCAATTGAGAATAAATCTCACTTCTAAAATATTATGAATGAAGATGATGGGAGATTGCAAACAATGAGAGATAGTACAGGGAAGACACATTTACAGTAAGTTTTAGGAGAGACACAACTAACATTTACAAAATAAGTGTGAAACAGGAGAGGTCAATAAAGGGAAAACATCTGCAAACATTAATATATAATATAGATATTACATACACTTTTTTCTATCAACCAGAAGCATATTGCTTAAAAATGTCGACATATGTTTATATCTTTGTAGCTTCTTTTTCTGGAGGATTGCTAATCTTTTGTATAAGATTACAACTAGCTCTTCCCTAACTCAAAGGAGGAGAAAAAATAAATAGCCATAAATTGTAGCATATGGTACACCATATACATACAAGGGTGTTCTTATGGCAAAGTTATGCTCCTTATTAAGTGGAATTCAGTTTATATCAAGGCAGCCCAAAGAGCCATCAAATAACTAAAGGATTTCATATAATGTAGTTTCATATAGAAATTAATCATTTAAGGAATCCATAAGTTTCCAACCTGTTTCTAGTAATTTTCCACTGCTCCCCTTTTTGTACTGTACATAATACATTATTATAATTAGTTCATTTAAAAGCTAAGAGCTAACATACCCCCCCAAAAAACAAACCAAAACAAAACAAAACTGTCTATGTGATTCCCTCCTCTTTTGCTTTAAGTAGTTTCTTTTAGGTGAGAAGTTTATAAGTTTAGTCACAATAACCCCGGGTTTCTAATTAAAAATATCATAATATTTAGCCAAAGGTTAGGGTCTCTAACCTTGCATTGATATTATCTTTAATTAATCTTTAGTCTCTTTGTGATTGAGACAAAATGTAATTTATTGGATTCATTCAGGAAATGCATAGTTAGCAGACCAGAACCAGTTATAGAATGTACAAACACGCTGTAGTCTCTCTAAAGCCCATCCTTTACTGATCATCATGATTCTTCCAGAAATTGTTTTCTCTAGGTGGAGTGATACCATCTGTGAAAGCTTATAGGGTCCGAAATATGCAAAAGACTTTAAATACACTACCCCCACCCTATTTAAAAACTTAACTATCTCTGCAAAATAGGCTGGGGTGCATTTTGAACACATTGTCCATGTCTTCAATCTAGAAGATTCTTCTGGAGTATATAAACATTGTGCTTTCATGTGTTTCTAGTGCACCATAAGAGTCTCAAAAATCATATGTTATAGTCCCATATACACAGGTGAAAATCACAATTATGCAAAATACAAGGTTTTATTATTCAGCAAACAAGAACATTTCCATAAAGTTTACCAAACATTGCTTACTTATCAAGAAATGCTTGATATGGTCCTCCAATGGCTTTCCTCAACTTAAAAACAAAACAAAACGAAACGAAACAAAAAAAAGAGAAAATTGACTTTTCAATACAGAGTTTACCAGACCATTTGGCACTATCCCAAAAGGGATTTTATAACCTGGGTTCAACCAAATACCAATCCTTCAGCAATAAACAAAATCAACTGGGATTCATTTCTGCAAACTGCTGTGTGTCTTGGGGGGCTAGAGCATGTCACCCTTTTTGTGTCGCACTGGAGAACTCCCTCCTTCTTCCCCGCACTGCACCTGTTGGCTCAAATGGTTTAATCATTCACCACCAAAGAAAGTTTCTTAGGAAAACGGGGTCACTGCCTCAATCCTGGAGCACATGGTATTTTCCAAACAGAGCTTATGGACCTTGGATGGACAACTCTAAGTTACCCCCCCCCTTCTGTTGAGAAACCTACTGTCCTGGGTGAAAACAGTAACATGATTACTTCAGCACATAGGATCACCCATTTTGCAAAAAGTCTAGATAAAATTTTCTAAATGTTCAGTCTATATAGGGCATGCAAAAATTTCTCTGGGATTCCCTATATCATAGGCAATTCCCTTAGACAGTCAAATTCTTTCTAGGTCTCTATTCCAAATGGAATCCAAACATTTCCCCAATGGATCCCCATAAACCTCAAGTCTAATGAAAATGTTGCAAACTCAAAAAAAGGCTCAGTTAGGGAAAAACAATGATAACAAACACATCAAGGAAGTCCGCAGAATGGCAAGACTTTAAAGAAAATAAACCAAGTGCTTATATATTGCTTCCTTGGGATTTACAAGAACACAGGGAAACTTTACCTTATGAATTTGCTGGGCACGAAGACTTCATGACAAAACATATTTTATGATTGATCACAAAAGGTACAATATGAGTGCTTCTCAACCACACAATAGCATTCCAGCGATGAAAAGTCCATAATTTTAATAATAAACCATTAAAAACCGAGGATCTTACATTCTAATGAAGGCGACAGCATGTATGCCTGCACAGATGTATGTGTATATACGTATATGCATATATATTAAATTGATCTCAAAATGACCTGATATTTGAGCCCAGAAAGCTAGTGTAGTTCCCCCCACCCCATAGATGCCAGACTTGACAGTTTACACTATTTCTTGTCTTCAGCCCACTTAGGATCTCTGTTTTATATATATATAGATAGATAGATAGATAGATAGGTAGATATAGATAGATAGATAGATAGATATAGATAGATATAGATATAGATATCTATCTATCTATCTATCTATCTATCTATCTATCTATCTATCTAGTATGTGTGTGCATGCGTGTGTGTATACACATGTGTGCATGTATGTATACATATATATAGACACACATGCATGTATATATACATATATATGTGTACATGTATGTTATATATGTATATACATAAATTCTTTAATTTATCTTATTTGGGAATTTAACTTTTGTTATTGGCCTTGCTGGTTTTCATCATTTTGTAGGCCCGGATTTAACAAAACGAAACAGACAAAAAGCCCCACTAATTTAGAACAATATCTGCTGCTAAGCAGTAAAGGAATATGGTCAGGAGAAATCAATTGCTTGTATTTGTTCTCACTTTGGACTTGAAACAGCCCTAATTTGGAGTGTAGCATGAGGTAGTATAAAAGAACATCAGGTTTGGAGATAGGAGAAACCCAGGTTCATATCCTGCCTCTGATAGTTTCAAGTTTTGTAACTATTTGTCAGTCACTTAACATTTGTATTCCTCAGTTTCCTCATCAGTCAAATGGGGATGATAATTCCTTTAGCATTTATTTGATAAGATTGTTATAAACACAACTGAGATAATGTTTTGCAGGCCTAAAGTGCTTTATAAATTCCTATTTGCCATTAGGCTCTTAGGCCTCATCAATAAAAATGAGTGTTATTTTCAACAGCTGCTTATTAGTCATAACTCTAATCAGAACATATTAAGAGGTAACTAAGTGGCTTCGAGCAGTGATGTCATACTCCAATAGAAACAGTTACAACTAAACCACATATTAGCATCATTTATTTCTATTGTGTTTTTATTTATTTTTTAAAATATTTCCCAATTCCATATTAATCTGGCTCTAGCAGCACTCAGAACTGTTGTGGGTCAAGGTGTTGCCTGCTCTCTGTTTGACACCTCTGGCTTAACAAGATGAGAGCTAGACCTGGAGTCAAGAATATTTGAGTCCAAATTCTGCCTCAGACCATGACTAGCTGTGTGAACCTGGGGAATTAATTTAACCTCTTTCACCCTCATTTTTTCCTCATCTTTAAAATGGGGATAATAAAAGAGCCTACCTCATAAAGTTGTTGGGGAACAATGTGAGATCACACATGTAAAGCACTTTTTAAAGCTCTTCATATAAATACTAGACATAATTGTTGATGTTAAGGTTAATAATGATAAAAAAAATGAATGACAGTACAAGTAAATATTTCCCCACTCTCTTTACAAAGAAGAGTATAGTTATAGACAAAGAAGTGTAGTCAATTACTATGTCATCTGCACAACTTAAGTGTAAAATTTCCAACCAGAATGCCCTATAGAAAGACCATAGGGTTTCAAATAGTAAACTGAAATTCAGATAATAGGTTCCTTTTTGCCAGGTTCTTTTATTCACTTGTAGAGTGACTTTTCTTTCTAACTTACTGAACCATTCTATAATCTACTAATTTCTGCACCTGCAAAAATCAGTTCCTGTCATATTTTTAAAAAATGGATCCTCAGAAGAGTGATGCTCTAATACTTAAGCAAGACAATTATGACCTTAGAAGACAGGTGCTATATAAATATGAACGTGTTATTCAAAAATGCATCTTCATCTTGTTGATTTATACTGCAGTTTGAAAAAAAAAATTAAATGTTTATAGGAATCATTGACTTTAGAAGGTATTTTATAGATCGTCCAATTCAACTTCTTCATGTTAGAGATGAGGAGCACAGAAGGGTGACTTGGCAGACAAAGGTAATTAGTAGCAGAATTATGATTCTAACCTAGAATTTCTGACTTCAAATCCAGTAACCTTTCTATTTCTCTGAGTAGTTATATATGTGTGGTCATTATAAATAATGAACCCAATTTTGGGAAAAATCACTCTTTTTATTATTAAAATGTGTTAAATTGACCTACTTTAGTTAATAGGATTTTCATGAGAGTTACCAGATTAACTGTTTTGGAGAATAAAATCTCAAAGATAAAACTCTGTTGGTGGTAGGCAAGGTGAGAGTGGT